GAGCCAACGTGATACTGACAGCACATATTGACCCAAACAATGTCATTAAGGGGGGTAACGTCGAAACGTTAGAAGATTTAATAAACCAAACTTTAGCTCAAGAAATAATAAAAATTCGATCTACTTCAACGGTTTTAGATGAAAAGGAGTTTTTTCCTACTTCCAGTTCCATCGTTAGCTTTGACAAATTATGATACTGTTATGGCCGGTGTCATTTCAAAGTAATCCTACACTCAACTTACATCACTTCGGTATAAATTGTTTTCACCGAAACTTCTTATTTCAAGATCTTATATATCTGTATAGTTCTACGAATTCGCTAATTCACTGTAGTTCCAGTATATTGATCCGAAAGAAAACTGCTGCTTATTTATTTGTTGACCTCGCCGCTTTCTAAAATCCCATTTGTACTTTTTTCGTTTTTAATACTAGACTTTTTCAACGTTTTCAAAGATATATTATTCTTGTTCAATCTTACAGAAAGCATCTTCATCATATTTCATGCAAGTAATCACTTTCTGATAGAACTTCATCTCGTCGCATATGTCAAAGGAAAGTTGGAAACGGTTTTGTGTTGCTAAATTCCGTTTGCGATATTGTGTGTTAATGAAGCGAAATCAGAAATTACATTATACGCGTAATTTATGCTATTGAAACTCACATAATTCTGAACTAAATTGAAATTTATAATTTAATATACCCACCTAAACGCGTAAGATGCCATTTACGTCGAAAAAATAACAAATTACTCGGCAAATGTCCTATTTCCTTGGCATTCACTGCGAAAATATTCAAATTAAACTCAATTAATCATTCCAAGTGATTTTTCGTTTATTTTAAATGTAATTTTGTTAATATGTATACGAAATTTAAGGGAAAATAAATTTTAGCAGTCTAGCTTTTTGCATACGAAAGCTTGTAATACCTGCATGCGCGTATTTTAAATGATACGAGCTTTTCGTAAAAAAGGACACATCAGTATTCATAGCATCAATCATCTACATTTTATGAAAAAAAGACTGAAACAGTTTCGTAGGATTACCTTCCCTCAACAACACGACGTAAATAGCTGATGTACATTTCAAAACAAAATTCAAATTTAGGTTGCTGAAACTTTTCGCAAAAATTGATCCAAAGGGTAGGTTACAAAGTAGACATTTCTACATTTAATTAAACTCGGAACGATTTACAAATTCACATTATGATCAAAGTTCAGAAGTGGACGTCCAGAGAAAAGTACAAATCGTATCATGTTTAATGGGAGATAAAAGAGATAGATGCATCAATGCTTACGGTTTATTTCGGTACGATTTACAAAATTGCAGGAGAAACTAAAGACTGCTGTTTGTCAAGTGACGGAGCTTTGTCGCGAAGATCTCTCGTTAGAGGTTCAAGCTCGGCATCCTCTTACTGTATATTATTACGCTTTACCGATCTTTTGTGTTACAAACGTATCATACTAACAAAGGGAAAATTTCTTAAAATTATTAGGTAGAATTATAAATTTTATTATGCAACGAGAAGACGAAAGCAATAACAAAGTCCCTTTCGACAGGACATTCTACCACAGCCCCCTTATCTTTCTTTTTTTTACCAAGATCCCACCCTAATAGGCTGAAAGTGATCCATAATCTATCCATATCTATCCATAAAAGTAAAATCCCCATAACGTTTGTACACAAGCTTTCGTCAAGATAGTGCTAGCTTTTTTCTCACATATAAATCCATTTAGGTCGTCGCGAAAGGCCACGTACAGTAATTGGCCATTGCAGCCACCAAAGTGTTCGTCTAACGAGATTTCCTTAATCTGCACCTTTCTTAGAAATTGTTTAAAGCTGTTAAATGAAGGAATCCCTTTTAAGCGGCGCCCGGATTAAACAATGTTGTTGCCGGAATAGCCGCTATTCGAAAAATGTTCTCATGAAGCTTCCGTTAAAACCTCTCCCTAGTATCTACTAAATGCAGCATGTGTTTTTTAGCAACTCGTTTTGTTTCTTTCATTTCCTGGTTGTCTGGAGGGGTTTATTCACAAGGGAGGTTCGTGATATTAATTGATTTACTTTATAATAGTAAGCTTCCAAATCCATTGTCCATCAACGTGAAGCCGGCAATTGTCTATAACAAATAATGCGCTGTGGGAATTATCACTGGATAATTCGACAGCGTATTTACACTTGGAACATTCGCCACGGAAGTTACCTCCAGAGTATACGTTCAGAGTTGGCCCTGTCTCGGGGGTTGCTTTTTATTGTTAAGGGGTGAGAGAATAATTTTAAAATTTTTTATTCGAGTGTCTAATCTTTAAATGAGTTGAATGAATGTCAAATTACATTGAGGGACATAATATATGATTTACTAAACAGTTTCGCGCCTGGAATATTTATAATTTTAAAAAGAATCTTCAAAATGTTAACAAATATTATCAACTTGCATGAAAATTACCCTATACATCAAATAGAAAGCTATCCCTTTTTGCAAATAATTATAAAATTATAGATTTCACATTTGTAATCAAACCTTTTTTTTATACAGGGTGTTTCATGACGAATGGTACATATGTTAATACGTTATAGATAGATATAGTCATCAAATTTAGCATGAGTTGTCGTAATTTAGGTCGATTAAACATAGAACCGATCATAGAACACTTACAGATGAAAAATTTGATCAAGCTCAGGGCTAGAAGCCAAATACCACGCAGCAAGCGATCGATAGAACAAATTGATTAATGGAAATCTTATCTACTTCACAATGTTAAATAATTCAAAATATCCGGTCGTAACTGCGCTTTTTATAACTGACACACAAACACACAAACGCCAAACGATGATACTTGGGAAACTCATTTCCTTCACTTTAACAAGTATTTCGGGTTGAATATAATGGTAGTGAATCGCTATTTTGTATAGTTCTACGTTTTCGCAAAAATCGCCGTTTTTTTATTAGGTTTAGGCGTAGGACGGGAAAGGCGGGGCGCGTGTTGGGCCGTAGGTAAACGTCGTTTGCCGCCGCGTACGGCGAGAGACGGGTCTACGGGAGAGCCCTAGCTATGCCGAACTCGCCTTCGGCTCGCTCGGCATTGGTGTAGCAAAAATGCGGGCCGTTTTCGTCGCGAGAAGGGCGAGCTCGAGCTATGCCGAGCTCGCCTTCGGCTCGCTCGGCATTGGTATGCATTTCGCATATTGAGACCGGATCCGTTTATCGACCCCGGACGGACGGCGGTTGGTATACGAGGCGCGCGTGTTAAGAATCGAAAGTCTTAGATTATTTTACTTCGTTAGGGGGGAGGGTTATTAAAAATTTTTGTTGAAATTTGTATTTAAAAAAAGTTAAACAACAATTT